AGCTGCTGATATCTATATATTTACTTCAGCAAGTGAAGCCAGTGTTTCAAAATAAAATTGTGTCCCTGAGAATTATAAGAGGATAAATGGGGGAGAAATCAGAGGAGAGTCCAAGCTGGGCTTCATACAGGAAAACACCACTCAGGAATGAACCCTAGGCCAAAGGAGGCAGAGCAGAGCCTGCTGCCTGTAGAGCGCCCCACTGCCCAGGTCCTGGCAATCTCCCAGCTTTCCTCCATCAGTGCGGCCCTTCCGCCTCACACGGCTCACATACACACACACACACACACACACACACACACAGACTCCCACTCCTTCAGCCTTGCTGACCTCAATGCCCCCACCCCGCTTTCCACCTCACCCTCTGCTCAGGCTGAAGGTGCCCTCACCTGGGATGCCCTGGCCTGAATATCAGCTCGGTGTGACTGGGGCCAACTTGGAGCTTACTCCCCCCAGCCCGGCTCAAATCCCTCAGGACTCAGCGGCACTGACCTGCTGGGAGTTGCCCACCCTCTGAACCTCAAGGTCCTCAGCTTCCCCGCAGTGGGAGCGGCTTGCACCCAGGCACTGCTGCTGTGACTCAGCGACCTCGGCAGGGCTGGGCAGGGCACACGCATCCGGCCGAGCCTGGCTTCTCTGCCAGCAGGAACACAGAACCTGAGCTGGTAGACTGGGAAGCAGGCTCTCTCCTGGAGGGCTCACAACTTCAGGGCCAGAAGCAGAGCGCAAGGCTGGGACATTAACTCAGAGAAGTCACCAAGCTCCGGTTCCTTCACGGAGAAGACAAGGACCAGAAGCCCCTGCCCGCCTGCCCGCCATCGGGCCCAACACAACCCCGCCTGCGTGAGCAGTACCCCACAGGCCCTGTCACAGGCCTCCCCTTCCTGCTAGGAGGCTGCTACAGAGCAACGCCTCTTGTGGAACAGGGACAGTGAGCTAGCTGGGTGACTGCACCGACGTCGATGCACCAGAAACCCAGCCACCAGCTGCCTCCTGCCAAAGCTCTGGAAGGAGCCATGAGTGGGGACGGCTTTCCTGGGCCACAGAAGCCACTCTCCCTCCGGAGTGAACTCCACGCAGGGCACTAAAGCCCACCCTGACCTGCTGCGACAGAGAATTTAGACAAGGGTGACAAGGGGCTCCGGGGGAGACTGCCTTGCCGATGAGGAGGAACTCCAGGGCATGAGGTTCCCTTGTTGCCTGTGTCAGGCTGGCATCACTGGCTCCCGTGCCCAGAACCCACTCAGGTACCTTGGCCATGGTCACATCATCAGCGAATCTCCTCGGCTCAACCTCAGGGCCCACCTGCTCAGCCAGGCATGGTGGCGCACACCTGGAGTCCCAACACTTGGGAGGCTGAGGCAGGAGGGTCACAAGTTCAAAGTCAGCCCCCAGCAACTTACTGAGACCCTGTCTCAGAATAAAAAATAAAGTTGGGGATGTAGCGCAGTGTGAAGGCCCTGGCTACAATCCCAAAAGCAGGAAAAAAAAAAAACAGATAAAGCTAAGTTGGGGCTGGTTATATAGCTCAGTGACAGATTATACGCTTAGTATGCCAGAGGCACAAAAAGCGAAACCAGTCTTCACCCTCCCTCACTCAGAACAACCTGCTGGCTCCTACCGGCTCAGCATGACACCTGCAGGCCTTGTCAGACCTCCGAGCCTGTGTTCTCCTCCTACCCTCCAGACCCTTGCACCCACTGCTTCCTCCCCTCCAAAGGCTCCTCCCCCAGGTGTCCAGGTGCCTTGTTCCCTCCCATCTTCAAAGATAGCACTGCTGTGAACTATGTGCCCCCACAAAACATTCATATCCCCTACAACATGACTTTTTTTTCTTGGTTTTTTTGAGGCAGGGCCTTGCTATGTAGTTTAGGCTGGCCTTGAACTCATTATGTAGCTCAGACTAGCCTCTAAATCCCAGAGATCCTCCTGCCTCAGCCTCCCCAGCACTGGTATTCTAGGTGTGTGCTACCACACCCATCCTAGACTATATTTAGAGACTATATTTAGAGACCCTTGATGGGGTAATTAAGGCTAAATGAGGTCCTGGGTGGAAGGAGGCCACAATGTGATGGAATTCCAGCCAGGTAGGGTATGTTGACAACGTCTGTGTAATCGCAGCACTCAGAAGGTTGAGGCAGGAGGATTTGGGTGAGCTGACACCAGCCTGGGCCATGTAATGAGTCTGAAGCGAACCTGAACTACACAGCAAGACCCTGTCTCCAAAAACCACAAAAGAAAATGGATGGATGGATGGATGGATGGATGGATGGATGGATGGATAGATGGAAGGAAGGATGGAAGGAAGGAGGGAGGGAAGGAAGGAAGGAGGGAAGGAGGGAAGGAAACCAAATAGGCCAGAACCTAGACCTTGGACTGCTCAACCTCCAGAACTGTGAAAACTACACTTCTCTTGCTTAAGCCCCTCCACCCTTGCTACTGTTGTGGCAGTGTGAGCAGCTAACACACCCAGCCTCGGGGAGTTTCAGTTCCCACCCCAACACCTACCATCCCTGGAGCCTGCCCCACTCCAGAGTTTTATCTGCCTGCCAACTCAAGTGGGAGCTTGGTTTGGGCCGGGAATCTCCATGCAGCCTCTGCCCACTAATACTGCGCCCTGCACAAAGCAGACACTGAAAAATGCATTAAATACACTGAAGGCAGAAGGAAGCTGAGGCAGGAGGATCGCGTTAGCCCAGGACTTGAATGAAGCAAGCCTGAACAACACAGCAAGACCTCATCTCAAAAGATAAATCAAAAAAATAAATTCTGAAATGTCTATGAAAAGGTACAAATGAAGAGCTCAGTTATGGAAGAGCCGACAACCTAAAACCTCTGACAAAATAGGTTGGAAAGAACAAATCCAAAAACAGACAAAACAGTGCCACTTTGTGCACAAAGGGCTCCTTTAAACCCCAGAGGCCGCGATGCGCAGCTTAACCTGGAGAAGAAATGAAAGAATAGAAGAGCAAAAGGAAGCCCACTGGGGCCTCGCCTCAAAGCGGAGAACAACTGAAAGAACAGCAGGATGTGAAAATGAATTAATGCAACTGACTGGCATGTAGACCTTTAGATGGGCAGGGCCTGGAAAGAGGTCAGGGGAAGGCTGTAATATGTTTAAATTTTAAAAGCCTAAGAAGATTAAATAAAATGAAGTTTTTAAAAAGCTTCCCGTGACAGATACAAAGCACCACATAATTGCAAATTGTTACTGCCGCCTTTTAATTTCCTTAGCCAAAATGAGAAAATTCCTTAAGCTACCCACGGTACCAGATATGGTTCCCTGATGGAGCCTGGGCTTCTGTTCAGAGACTCTGATGCGGGGAGAGGGGCAGTGGGCAACTCAGGATCCGCAGCAGCCGGCAAACCAGACCCTACACAACTCGGGTGCAAGACACTGGGCTTTACTCAAGAAGGATCTGTTCAGAGCACCTGACACAAAGTTAATGAGGAGATGGACAAGTGAACAGACGGACAGGACATGGATGGTGACAGGGACCGTGGCAGGCTACGTGAGCTTGTCCCTGGGCCACGTATCTCACTTCTGCAAGGTTAAGCCTACCACACACTGCTCCACAAATGTGACAGGCAGTGTGGCAAGAGAAGTGTCTAAAGCCCCCGCAGTATTCCAGCCAGGGATTTTTATAAGCATCTTTGAAACATCTTAACAGCTGTTTAATCCCAGCCCGAAGGGCCACACTGTGAAAGTCCAACTGCAATGCAACCATCCAAAAAGAACCGCCAACATGAAAACTTCCTGAAATACCTGTTCTCTCAAAAATTAGTCCCACTCCATGCAAAGAAACTGGAAGAAATCAGTAGGGTGTGGTGCCGCACATCTGTAATCCCAGTCCTCAGGATGGCTGGAACAAGAGGATCACAAGTTAGGGAAACCCCTGTCTCAAAATTTAAAGAATTAAAAGAGAGAGCCGGGCGTGGTGGTGCACGCCTGTAATCCCAGCACTCGGGAGGCTGAGGCAGGAGGATCGTTGCGAGTTCGAGACCAGCCTGGGCTACAAAGTGAGCTCAAGGCCAGCATGAACTGCAGAGTGAGACCCTGTCTCAAAAAAGACCAAAAAAAAAAAAAGAGTGAGGATGTAGCTCAGTGCCAAGGCCCTGGGTTCAATTCCCAGGATGGATGGAGAGAGGAAAGAAAGAAAGAAGGAAGGAAAGGAGGGAGGGAGGGAGGGAGGAAGGAAGGAAGGAAGGAAACCAAAAGAAAAACTGCCCTGGTATCAAAAGAAGCCAGTTGCCACTCTGGCAAAGGCAACAGTCTAGAAAGCAGATACCTCACGGGGGAGGTCAGGCGGAACGCGCAGCCGCTGGGCACACCCGCTGCCTCCTTTCAACTCGTAGGTGTGGCGTAAGAGCTTGCACTGCACACAGCCACGGGTGCCCAAAAGCTATGAAATTTCGGATGAATGAGGAGTGAACAGTCATACTGCATTCATAAGGGACGCTGGCAGGTCAGCCATAACTCCGTGCAAAATACTAAATTTCTGAGCTGAAAGGGCCCTTTCTGTAGCTCACCGGGTCAACACACACCTCCGGGGGCCAGGCCGGCAGAGTCCTAGGAAGAGGCAGATGCAGACGGCGGGTCCACAGCTCTCAAACACAAAAGCATAAAAAGAAAACGTTCCACCAGCCCTGATGCTAGCCTTTTGCTGTCGCGAGGAGGAAGCTGGCTGCGGGAGGTCACATGGCCCCTTCATGACAGCTCAAACCAGACTGTCTCAGGACTCTGGTCGCGTGTCCCCGCGCATCCCTGGCCTCCGCTGCGCACGGAGGACCCAACGTCAGCGGGGCCAGCGTCTTCTCCCTCCCATCTCCCAGCCCTGCAAAAATAAAACAGCCACTGCAAATGCACCGGCCCCAGAAAGCCCTGTGGGGAACTTTTTTCCACCCGCAGTTGCCCTCCTTCACCGTTCGCCGTGACAGTCGATAATTTCCATCAGTCACACTTAAACCCCCAGCCTGCACACCGAGTTCCCGCCACCTACCCATCCGGGGGACACCCAGGCCAAGCGGAGGAGAAAATGCTGCGCCCTTTCGAGTAGTCACGCTCGACATGTAAATTTCCCTCTCCGGCCCGCCGGGGATCCGGACCCCTCAGGGGGTCAAGCCGAAGAGAAAGGCCCTGAGGTCGCTACGGCCGCTTCTAAAATTACTTGGCGCTGGCTTTGTGGGAGGGCAGAAAGCGGGGATCGAAAGGGCACCCCCGCCGCCGGCGCCCCCAGCACGGCCCTCAATCCCGACGCCGCGCGCTCCGCAGGGCAGCGGC